CGCTCTTGGCCCCGCCCCCCATGCCATGCTCGGGCTACTGTGCCGGACACAAGGCCGTGGCTTATTGAGAAGGAACCCACTTACCCCAGACTTGCCCAGCCGTTCCGAGCCTGCTAGATCCACCAGGTTAATTTTGGAAGTGATGTACTTTTCATCCGATAAGGTCCGTGAACGGGCCTGTGAAACGTCCAAACAGATGAGACTGAGGCTTCCCGGGGAGACCTGCTGGCTGAGGCCCAGGGCATGGACCACGACGCCCGGGCGTGCGAAGGGCTCGCACTCACCTCCACGTAGATGGTGAAGATGCAGTGGGACCTGGACGAGTTCTTGTTCATCGTGTGGGAGCCGATGATACGGTTGGTTTCTCCCTGAAGGGGAGGGGACACGTGGATGATATTTTGAAATATTTAAATAACCAGGCACTTGAGTCGTTGGAATGACACTGACAGCTGCACAGTGAGCGCTCCTCACCGCAGGCGGCCGGGCCTTCCCGCAGATCTCATTTATGAGCCAGTCGAGCGGGAGGCAAGTCAGGGTCCAGATCTGTACTTAGATCCGCTGCTGGGGGTGAATGGACTTGCATAGCTTTCCAAAAAGCAAAGTGGCAAGGAGTTTGACGTGCCTTCGAAATGTTCACAAATATCGAATCGCAATCGGCCTTCGTGTCCCACAGGTAGGGAATGGTCTCTCTGTACAGGGAAATGCTAGGCAGGTGGACGATATTGGCAAAGAGTTTTTGTAACAGAGAGAAGCAGAAGCCAAAGTCAGAGCACACCGACTTGGACACCACGTTACAAGGATCATACCCCTCGGCCAAGTGGCGTTTCCCCCTGGGATGCGAGGATGGTTTGACATCAGCACGTCAGGCAAGGGGAAGCGCACACGACTGGGATGGAGGACAACGTTCTGTGAGGCCACAGGCTAAGGCAGGCAAAGGCACCGGTGGGAGGAAGGACATACAGGCGCTGCCACCAGGATGTTCGTACGGTCACTTCTTGGCTGGGGGCTGACAGGTCATTTTTCTTCTTCTACAGGTTTGTGCTTCCATCTTATTTTTTTGACAGTGAACATGTACTGCTATTAAAAATCGGGGGGAGCCCAGCCAACGTGGCTCAGTGGTTAAGCCACAACCTATGAACCAGGAGGTCACGGTTCGATTACAGAGAGGAAGGGAGAGGAATAGAGAGTCAGAACCATTGATGAGAGAGAAACATCGATCAGCTGCCTCCTGCACACTCCCCACTGGGGATGTGGCCGCAACCAAGGCACATGCCCTTGACCGGAATTGAACCCGGGACCCTTGAATCCACAGACTGACTCTCTATCCACTGAGCCACACCAGTCAGGGCAAAAAAATATATATTTTTTAAAAATGGGGGGGGAGGAAACAATAATTGGTGCTTTTATTATTACTTTTTATTGATTTCAGAGAGAAAAGGAGGAGAGAAGTAGAAACATCAATGATGAGAGTGAAAGTGAATCATTGATTGGCTGCCTCCTCCACGCCCCTACTGGGGGTTGAGCCTGCAACCCAGGCCTGTGCCCTGAGCTGCGATTCAGGGGTGGATGCTCAACCACTGAGCCACCCGGCCGGGCTCACCTGGCCTTGTTTTGTTTGAGATTCGCCATCGCTAAATGCTGTTCCATTGTGTGGACGTAATACCTGTTTACTCCTCACCGCTGACAGACACCTGGTTATTCCCAGTCTTTGGCTGTTACAGACAACACTGCCAGGAACACTTGTGTAAAGCCTCTGTGTGTGTGAACACTTTTATTTTGGGGGTAGATTTCTAGGAGTGGAACTGCCAGGTCGTATGGATAAAGGGGCTTCACCATTTTACACGTCACCAGCCAATATGACTTTTAAAAGAATAGCATACACTACGGAATTTTTTAATTGATTTGTAAAAGGTACTAAGGACATAAATCCTTATTTTTTTCTATACCACAAATGCCCATGATTTAATGTTAACTGGCGGGCGGGGGTGGGGGGTGGGGGCAATTTCATCTACATAAAGAAGAATCTGCCCAGGAAAAAAAGACTAGAAGGAAATAAGCCAAAATATACATTATTGTTGCCACATGTAGAAAACAAATAATTTTTTACTCATATATGTGGGTGTATATGTATATATTTTCATTTTTGAGAGAGAGTGGAGCGGGAGAGACCGAGAGAGAGAGAAACATCGATTGATTGCCTCCCACACAGGGACTGAGCCCGCAACCGAGGTACCTGCCTTTGACCCTTCAGTCCGCGAGCTGACGCCCTCTCCACTGGGCCACACTGGCCAGGGCCATTTATATATATATTTCTTTTTAATTGAACCCATGACCCAGGTAGGTGCCCTTGACCAGGAATCAAACCCATGGCCCTTCAGGGCGCGGGGCCAACACTCTCACCACCGAGCCCTGCGGCCGGAGCTCTCCCTATGTTTCAGTACGAGCTGAAATTGCTAAATGAGTATATTTTAATTCTCATCCTGATTATCAAAGTAAACAACTAAGAAGGGGGTGAGGGAAAAAATAAGAGAACGGAAGAAAGGGAAGGAGGGAGGAGGAAAGAAATCTCTCACCTCGAAGAGGAGGCTGAAAGCGTCCTCCTCCTGACTCGCGAGGTGGACCGACAGGCCCTTGATGAAGACCCCGTGGGGGTTTTCCACGACGGCCACGGGCGTGGCCGAGGGCCCCACGTAGGGCAGCGTGGACAGGAGGTCGAACAGGCTCTCGTTGTAGATCTCCAGGTAGGAGAGGCGCACCGTGATGGCGTGCGTGGGGCGCTCCTCGATCATCCTGAAAACCTGGGGGAGGTCGGACAGCGGTCGGACCTCTGCAGGGCAGCCCGTGCCATGGGAGGGCGGACCTCAGGGGGGGCATCCAGATGTGCGACCAGAAACCCTTCTCCTAAAAGGACTTATGGTCTAGTTGGTGTGACGACCATCAGAAACAATGACTATAATCATAGTCCACTGGGCGATATTCACTATCACCTTGTTTTAATATATTTTAAATTGATTTATTTTTAGAGAGAGAGGAAGGGAGAGGGATAGAGAGATAAACATCATTGACCGGCTGCCTCCTGCCCGCTCCCCAGGGGATCAGCCCACAACCCGGCCACGTGCCCTGCCCGGGAATTGAACTGGTGGCCTCTTGGTTCCTGGTCCGATGCTCAGCCGCTGAGCCCCCCGGCCAGGCACGGTCACCGGGGTTTCTGAGGCCTGACTTACAGAGCGGCTAATCCTCGTTCAGTCCCCTGGAGTAGAGGCGGATGAACAGGGGGCGCTCTGGGTGAAGGTCTCGCGTTGACGGGGTCTCACCAGGCATGAGCCTCTTTCACCCCATGGTTTCATTCCCGCCCCGTTACCCCCGTGACTGACGTAGGGCCGGGCGACACCCGTCCGCAGTCAGCTCCTCGCAATAACAGACTCGTCACTCCGCTCGTAAGGGCAGGAGCGAAGCCAGACTCGGCCTTCTCAGCGCTGGGCAGCTGGTGCCTTCGGACGGGCATCGCCCTCTCTGGACCTTCGTTTCCTACGTGTCACACGGGAGCCGGCGAGATGAGCCTGGAGGCCTCGCCCTGTGCTGTCCGCCAGGGGAGCCACGAGCCATGAGCCACGAGCCACGGGGGCTGCCGACCCGCCATGTGTGGCCAGAGACCGGGAGGAAACGCACTGTCACCTGCCTGTGATCTCAGGGAACTGAAATGGACGTTTGAAAAGCGGGGCTCACCCGGACCGGTGTGGCTCAGTGGATAGAGCGTCGGCCTGTGGACTCAAGGGTCCCAGGTTCAATTCCGGTCAAGGGCATGTACCTTGGTTGCCAGCATATCCCCAGTAGGGGGTGTGCAGGAGGCAGCTGATCGGTGTTTCTCTCTCATCAATGTTTCTAGCTCTTCCCTTCCTCTCTGTAAAAAATCAATAAAATATATATATTTTTAAAAACACAAAACAAAACCAAGGCTCAATTCAGTTACCGGTAAACCTTTAAGTATATTCGGAACAACTTGGGTTTATAAATCTATTTCTCAGCTGTGAATTTTATGACCTCTACATACAGACAAGTATTTCTGATGAATATTTAGCATCTAAATTGAAATAAACACCAGATTTCAAAAACTTAATATGAGAAAAAGAATGTAAAATGTCTCAGCACGTTTCACGTTGATTACATGTAGAAACGATACTTTGGATATACTGGGTGAAATGATATATACTACGAAAAGTTAATTGCACATGTGTTACTTTCTGAAGTGTGATTACTGGAAAACTCATAATTGCACATGTGGCCCTGGCCGGTTTGGCTCAGTGGGCAGAGCATCAGCCTGTGGACTCAAGGGCACAGGCCTGGCTTGCGGGCTCGATCCCCAGTGCGGGGCGTGCAGGAGGCAGCCAACCCATGGTTCTCTCTCATCATGGATGTTTCTCTCTCTCTCCCCCTCTTTCTTCGTCTCTGAAATAAGTAAAATGTGTGTGTATATATATATTTTTAACTGTACGTGTGACTTACATTGTATTTCTATGGGACAACACTGGCTGCACTACTGGCGTCTAAGAAGGTCCTGAGACCCTGAGGCTCTGACGGCGGATCGTCAAAGCGCTGCTTCAAAGCTCAGAGCATGATGGCTTATGTCCGAGGGGGACCGGCCGCT